CCATGAGCAAAATCTTTTCTGTTATCTGAGTAATTATTTCTGATTTCATTTTTCCCAGATCCTCTTTTGTTGCCAGTTCAGAGAGTCGAGGTGGTTGAGTATCAGAGTGTTCCATCTTGTTTCCCCCTGGGGTTGCTGTAGGTGATCTGGAAGTCTGTTTTTGAGGCTTATTTACATGTCTTATTTCCAAGGCAGGAGTGCTTCTGGTGCCCACACGGCTCACCTTCTCTTTCCCTGGAGCCTGGGATGGTGGTGCGGGAGCTCCCTTCCAGGTGCTGGGACCAGCTCAGCTTTTCTGCCCTAGTTGCCTGGGATGGCAGCGAGGGAGCTTCCTTCCGGGTGCTGGGACTGGCTCAGCTTCTCTGCCCTAGGAGCCTGGGATGGCAGTGGGGGAGCTTCCTTCCGGGTGCTCCACTCATGTCTTTTTAGAGAAGTTGGTCCCAGGCACCAGTGAAACCTCCAAGAACCTACAAACATAGGCCCTACTTGACTGACAAAAATTTAGTGGACATTATCATATCTGTCCACATTGTGGAAAATATTTCTAAGGAAAAGAATTCCAATTTTTCTTGGATAGTCTATGTTATCTGGATCCTCTTTGAGCCTCTGTTTTCATGAACCCAAACAAATAAAACTTAGCTGTTCCAATGAGACTGGCTGCACTGTTATCAGGACACAAGCTTTGTGTAAGACAGCTTGATGAAAAGGGCTAAGTCATAGTGTCAGAAGTGGCACGGGCAAGCAAAGGAGAGTGAATCACTAAGAGGTTGATAGATACACAGGTCATATTTAATAACTATTGTCTCAAAGAAGGAAATCCATCACAGTCAGGTACCAGCCTTGAGACTATCTGTTTACAAACTCTCCAGTCTTTTGCAAGCCAAGGTACTTGAAGTTCTTGACATCCTTAAATATTTAGGGATTTTTCTTATGGTAAATAAATCATTTTAACATTAATAAGTTATTCTCTTGTCCCTTTATCTTCTTGAAAGAGAGATCCCCTTCCTTATATCTCAGTGCAGCTTGACATCCCTCACATTCCTGCACTAAAATCCTTCTTAGTGACACAGGAACACTTGTATCAGGTCTGTGAGATTTCCTCATGGCTTTTCCTCCTGATACGGTTGACTTTCCTCCTGACACTTTTCCTGTGGCACTGCTGACTACTTCTTTCTCTAAGAAACTCTTGCCTACTTTAGCTTTAACATCTATGGTTAATTTTCCCCTGAATATCTTCAACCCCAGAAATGTCAGTCCATATCCTGGCCACACCATATACATTGTTTTTCCACTGACTTGAGTTTGAGAGGTAGAGGAGTCCCTTCCAAATCCCACACATCTATCTCTTTGGATCTTTAAAAGGCTGATAATCTCTCCCAGAACATTGAGCTCCTCAACAGGGGTTAGCAACCAAGACACTCTAAGTCCTATCAGAACAATGAGAATTACTTCAAGAAGATGGTAACATTTGAGTAGGGGACACTTGACATTTGGCTATCTGACAGCTCTAAGATTAATCTGGAAAATATCAGCAGGAGACCACGGGAGATACTTCCCAAGTCTTGCGCTGCTCTGCAGTGTCTGACCCACCTCTCCCATGTCCCTACATGCACGAAGTATGAGGATGACATATCCTACAACCAGAGGCAACATATTTTGCCAATTCAAGGGGCCTGATGATGTCACCTCCCCAACTGAGCTACCATGCTAGGATCACATAAGGAGCTTCACTACCATGTTAGAGATTGTGGGCATCTTTGTTCTATTTCAACCTTTCCTGAGAAGAACCATATCTCCATGTCACTCCATGTCAAGTTCACTTCATGGAAATGTTTAGGGGAGATGTTTCTGCCATGAGTGAGGCCAGCACAAAAACTTTTAAGACACATCCTGGAATGGGTAGACGGAGAGAAGGATAGAGTTAAGATCTAGAGATGCTCAAATTGTATCAATGAACCTTTCTTGTCGAAGTAAAGCAGAGGCAGCTTGTACACTCACATATCTGAATCTATCCAACTATCTCCCTGCCCTCCTGGGGGCCATATTTATCACAGCAAATATTCTTTCAGCCTCTCCCCTTCCCTATCCTCCTCTGGAAACTGTGCCTTCCCCTATCTTTGATAATGGTGTTTCTAACTTTGAAGAGCTCTATCAGGACACTTCTTGCTTCCCTCCCTAGGCTAACTTCATAAATTATTTTCCTATAAAACTCTCAAGACATTTCTATCACTCAAACGTTTAAACAACCCAAGAGGAACTTGAGGGCGTGCGAATGAAACAAGATATTCTTAATGCCTGCCTGATTCCTCCTGCCCCCATCTCCTCTAAGGCACATTCAACCCCTTTCCTAGTCCCTGACAGTCAGATAAAACCTTGTCTCCACTACACTGTCCTATTGCACATTACTTTTCTTTCCTGAACACATCCCCCTGGTTTTCCAGTCTTCATCTACTCATCTCATTTCTAAGACATCCCCTCCTTCCTTCTCATCCTGGAGCTGCAGTAGGGCCAAATGGTTTCTCTATCTTTGAGAAGAGAGAAGATATAGAAAAGAAAGATTTGGACAGGTCATAGTATTTAAACCTTCCTCTAATTATCTTTTCTTGAAAGCAATCATTCCCAAAGTATGGGTTTCGATAAGTATAATCTAAAAAGAAGAGTTTTGTGGTAAATAAAGTGAGGGAGACAGTTAAACAATTTTTCCGTAAGGAAATTCCCAAGGGTCTAACATGATAATAAACATTTATTAGTTATCTATTTTGGTATAACCAATTGCCCCCAAAATTAGAGGCTCAAAGCACAAATAAACATTATTTCATCATTTCAGTGAGTCAGGAATTAGGGAAAGGCTTAACAGAGTGGTTGTGACTTGGGGTCTCATGAGGTTGTAGTTGAGATGCCAGTCAGAGCTGCAGTCACCCCAAGGCTTGACAGGGCTGGAGGATCTACTTCCAAGCTTGGCCACTCCCATGGCTGGCAATTGACACTGCCTTTTGGAAGAGATTCTCAGTGTCCTGCCACATGGACTCCTTCCTAGGGCTGCTTGGGTATTTCATAGAAAGGCAGTCAGCACCTCTGGAATGAGTGATCCAAGAGAACAAGAGGGGAAGTCAGAGTGTCTCTGTGATTTAGGCTCAGAAATCACACACCATCAGTTCTGCAATATTTCATTAACTACTGTACTTATATGTCCCCTACTCAATGTGAGAGGAGTTGTAAATACAGGAGGTGAGGGACAGGAAAGATCATTTTGGAGGTGGGATAGCGCAATGTGTCATATTGATGTTTAATGGGACATTCCAAAACACTAGGATTGTATAGTTTACTCGTTGTGGAAAATAACTATGGGAATAAGGGTCTCAGAGGATTAGAGAGGTTTACAAGCTTGTAAGGGTCTTAGAGGCTTAGAGGAAAACTACTATGGGAATCAGGGTCTTAGAGAATCACATATGGACAGGAAGATGGGAGTCTGTCTGGAGGAAGAATCTTGAAGGCTGGCATGTGAGTGCCTGTAAGAGGACTCCCAGAGTGGAAGACATCGTAGCAAGATCTGGGGTCTCACCTGGAACTCGGGCCCAGAGACCACTCTAAAGAAGACTCTCCAGTTAAGAAACCCTAGCACAAGACTTCCCTGCCAGTCTCAAACCCTTAGATCAAAGCTGTGTCACTTCCACTGCCTTACATCAAACTTGCAGAGAAAAAGTCAAAGTTCACAGGCTAAAAGGAAGACCTGTTGTCCCAGAATCCCTAAATATGGAGAGGGAGACAATCTAGAGGGCTCAGCTCTTCCGAGCTGGAAGCAATCAGAATACCACACTCTGTGGCATTGTTCAGAGCTGTTTTCAACAGGACCCCAACACGCTCATTGCCATCTGCGCTAAAACTCCATAAGATTACGTAAGCAGAAGACTACTTAAGGTCACTTGGATGATTCAGATCACAAAGCCTTGTTTTTCCCTACTTAATTTGCACAATGGCTTGTGTTTGCAAAGGTCCCAGCCTGGAGTCACCAAATGTTTACAGTGACCATATTCACAAATACAGAAAAGGAAGAGAAAGTATACAAAGGGCAGAGAGGATGGAGAAGGGGTCATGGAAAAGGAAAAGGAAGGTATGTGACTGAAGGGGATGGAATTTTTTAAAATGTGCAGCTTACCTGTAAACGTTAAGGACAACAAAATGTATTCCCTCAGTCTGGAAGTCCCCCACTCCCCCGCCCCAGCCACCCCCCCAGCACCCTAAGCGAGCTTTCACAGCCTTTTCCACAAGGTGGCACTCTTTGGACTTTCTTCCCCCCAAAATATGAAAGGGGGAGAGGGGAGGGAGAAAAGGCAAAGCACTGCCCCAACCAAGAACAATTTGAAAACCCACCCCATAATACTTAAAATCTGGGACAAAGAACCGTCAGGACGTAACTGCTTCGATTGCAAAACCTCAGCTCAGCCCGGGGAGGGTCTGGGCGGCCTGAACCCAGCGAAGCCCCTTTAAAAACGAGGAGTACAGTATTGGGATTCTTGAAACCTGAAACCTAGAAACAGAATCGAAGCGGAAACTAGAGGGAAAACCTTGAACTGCTCCAGACAATTGCTTCCGGGGAGCTTCGAGGGAGCGAGGGGGAGTAAGGGCCCGGCTGCAGGGCCCCTCGGATGGCGCGTCCCTGAGGGTCGCGGCGAGTTCGCGGAGCGTGGGAAGCGGAGCCCCGGCTGTCCCTGGGCTGCAGGTCATGGCCACCGTGGAGCAGAGAACCCTCGGCGTTGCCTTCAAGTGGCTGTCTTTGGCAACTCTTGTATTCATCTGCGCCGGGCAAGGGGGACGCAGGGAGGATGGGGGTCCAGCCTGCTACGGGGGATTTGACCTGTACTTCATTTTGGACAAGTAAGTGCCGGGAGTCGCTGCAGCCGGGGCTGAGCTGGTGATGATGCTTTCTCTAGGCAGGGCTGGTCAGCTGGGTCGCTATGGGACAGACCCGCATCTCTAGGGACCTGGAGGGGCCGCGGGAGGTGGCATCTCCGAGCGTCGCGCCTTTGTTGGGGAGCGCTCCTCCTATCCCTCTCCAGCGCTGCCCCAGCCCTCTGAGGAGGCGACTGCTTGTTTGGGGCACAGACTTCTTTTCTATCTTGCTCTCTGTGACCTCGGAGCAAGCGAGAGACTTGGAAGATGTTATTGGTTTAATTCTGTTTCTATGACTCTTTCCCAAGTTGGTAAAAAAAGGCTTGCTGACCAGAGGCAGATCTTGCAACACTTCTTCTTACTTTAAAAGTAAGTGTGGGCATCTCAAAGCCAGTCGTCTCTTTTAAAAACAAAATACATTCCCTTTGTTTTTGATAATATAATGCATCTTCTTTCTAAGCACTGAAGGCAAACACCAGGCAGGGTTTTTCAGCCTCTGCACTATTGAGATCTAAGCTTGGTGACTCTTTGTTGTGGGGGCCGTCCTGGGGCAGAATGTTCAGCATCATCCCTGGTCTTTACCCACAGCCACACTCTCCCCTTTCCCAGTTACTGGTGACAACCAAAAATATCTCCAGGTATTGCTAAATACAGTATTCCCAGCAAGTAAATTCTCCCTGTCCTTGGACTGGAGATCCCAGATGTAGGCAAATTCAAGCTTTTGAATAATAGGCTACCCAGGAGATGCAGGAGCGCTGGTTTCCTTGCTAAAATGGATAGCAGTTAGGCTTCAGAACTTTGGTCAAGAAAGAACAAAAGAATTCACTCTGACCAATTAACACTTCCCAAATCGCCCAAAGGTTTGCCAGGCCGCAGGCACTTAGAGAAGCTTCATGCTATCTGGTATAAACCAGCTTTAACAATAAAAAGCCCCTCTGAGAAGATTCCTGCTCTTTAAAACTGCTAGCACTCAGTGCCAGGAGAGGCAGTGGGGAGATGAATTTCACAGACTGGAAAGTTTTGGGGAGTTGGAAACAGAGTCCTGCAAAATAAGCTGGCCAGCTAGACACCAAATGTGCTTTGCAGTTGCTCCTGGCATTTAGTTTTTCCGTAAAGACTGTTTTGAATCCAGATTCTTTGGATGAAAAGTGAGATCTCTTTCTTGCAGTTTTATGAGAAGGTGGATACTGAAAATACAATCCAATGCTAAGAAATGGAATTTCTTTTGTTACTGCTAGTGGCTGAGAGCACTAGCCACAGACTCAAGGATGGTGTCTGAAAACACTCAGATGCTCATTATTTGTGCTCTCTAGCTCAGAGGGACATACAAGGAGACCTAAATTGATAGACTCACCATTCCTTGAGTGGAATTGATTCCACATTGTAAAGACAATCCATTCTCCCGAAATTAATTTATAAACTGAATTGAACTTTTTAGTTCAGTCCAAGCTCTGAAATTTATTTGGGTGGTGGGAGGAATTTAATGAAATGAGTCTAAGCTTTTTTTAGAAGAGGGAAGTAAAAAAGAACTACAGTATTTTTGAAAAAGAGTAATGAAGAAATATGGCCGGGTGTGGTGCCACACACCTGTAATCCCAGCACTCCGGAGGCTGAGGCAAGAGGACTGCCATGAGTTCAAGAGCAGCCTGGGCTACATTGTGTATTCAAGGCCAGCCTGAACTACATAGCAAGACCCTGCCAAAAAATAAAGAAAAGAAAAGAAAAAGAAAGAAAGAAAGAAAGAAAGAAAGAAAGAAAGAAAGAAAGAAAGAAAGAATCTCCTCTCCAATATTAAAATATGTTAGAAGGCAAATTAATAAAAACTAGATGGTAAATGCCAAGGAATAGATGGACAGAATAGAAAATCTAGATATAGATCCAAGTACGAGTCAGCAGTTAGTGAAATTTCAAATCAGTATGGAATGAACTCATTGTTTTCAAAAGTGGCTTTTGGACACATGGTTTATAAAATGGAGAAAGAAAAAGATTTTATCTGTACTTTACATCATAAACCAAAATGAGTCCCAGAATGATTGGAACTTTAAAATTTTAAGTGAAATCATCAAAGAACTGGAAGATAATTTAGATGAGTGTTACTGTAATCTTAGAAGATAATTTAGATGACTGTTAAAGTAGTCTCAGCTTTAGAGCTTTTAGAGCATGACAACGATGTAGGAACTATAAAGGAAAATACAGTGGAATTTGAATAAATTAAAATTTTATGCTCTGTAAGTGAAAAATGCCTCAAATAAAATACAGTAAGTCACAAAATTTTGCAACATAAGTCACTCTCTGAAGGCTGATCTTCATATGTAAAAAGTAAGGAGCTGGGGGTGGCTCTGTGGTAGAGTGCTTGCCTAGCATGCATGAGGCCCTGGGCTCAATCTCCAGCATCCCCCCCCCCATATTAATGAATTTTTAAAATATACATAGTGGTTTAAAAAATAGCCTGACTGCATAAGTCACAAAGGAAAAATATATAGTAAAATCTATAAATGAACAAAAAAGTTCAATTTCCCTAGGAATCAGAGAAATGAAAAAAATCTAGCAGATATAGTTTTTATTTGGTTACCAAAGACTTTTAAAGAATTTCAGTATTCAGGATTGACCAACATGTGGGCACTGTCACATCTTACTGGGGAAAATATAACTTGGCATATTCTTCCTAGACTTGCACTCTCCAATAGAATTTTCTAGGATGATGAAATTGTTCTGTATCTGTGTTGTTCAGTATAGTAGCTGCTAGCTATAGGTGACTATTGAGCACTTGGAATGTGGCCAGTGCAACGGAGGAAGTGATTTTTAAAATATTTCCTAATTTAAATTTAAATAACCACATGCGAATACCATATGGGATAGTATAGACAAGAAGATAATTTGGCAACATGTATCAAATAGTTTTTTTAAAAAGGCTCCGTCTTTCATCCCACAGTTCCATTTTTTTTTTTTGGTACCGAGGATAGAACTCGGGTCCTTGCGCTTGCGAGGCAGGTGGCGGAACCACTGAGCTAAATCCCCAGCCCCCACAGTTCCATATTTTAAAGAAAAAAAAATCCAAATAGTCACAGGAAGTACCTAAATGCATGTTCATGGTAGTGCTGCTTATAATAATAAAAAATGATTCCTGAAATGTCCAACAACAGGAGATTTAAGGAAGGCGTGATATATGCAGAGTATTAACTATGCATTGTGTATTATGCATGCTGGTTAGATATTTTTTTAAAAAAACAGAATGCTTAAAATATACTCTTAGGTGAAATTACAATTACCAAACATTGAATGCATTATGAACCAACCTTTGTAAAAAAGTTAAATACATACATGTGTATGTCCATATTTACCTGATATGATAAAGGTATTTCTCTTTAGAAAACAAGATTTTTAGCTTCTGTTTTTATACTTTTCTGAAACTTGAAAATCTTTTATAAAGACATTAATTTTTTATTCAATAAAATAAGTTACTTTGAGTTTTCAAAAACTCGAGAGTAGAGAAGATCTCTAACCAGTGTGCTGAGTGTCCCAGCCCTCGGTATTATAAAAGAAGTTGCTTTTATATTTGATCCTGGAATGAATTTTTAAATGTACTATTGGTTTCTTTAAAGAAAATGAAGGATCCAAAAATGCTTCCAGGGAAAAAATAGTGAGAAAATTTTATAGACACATAACTTTACATTCAAGTGGATTCCTCTGACTTCCTTGGTGGTTTTATTGCCTGAAGACAGGGATGCTTTGTGCTAAATAAACAACTTGCTGGAACTCAGTATGATTGTGTGTGCACTTGCAGCCTGCCACCTCAAAGCAGAGCGAATTACATGATTGTTGAGTCCCTAGCTGGGGGGAATGGGCTGACAGATTGCTGTGGCAAACAGGCCCCTGGACCATCCCTAAGACATGCTCTTCTGTCCTGGAAAGAAGCTTCTAGGACATTGCTGTCCAGCACCCAACCACAGCAAAGTGGGAAGGGAAAGAATGCTGACTCGTTTTTTCCTTGGGCTTCTGAGATCCTCTGGCTGGTGAGGCACTGTCTACAGGCTGAAACCAGCAGATCACAGGGAACTAAATCCACCACCATCCTTCTCCCCACCCCTGCAACTCCCTTTCCCCCCTGCACAAATGGTTCTCTTTCCCATGCCATTATATCTCAGCTCATTTCAGCTTCAAGCAGATGCATCTCTGGCCTGGAGGGAACCCAGATTATGCATTTAATGGAACGTCGCGTTTTCTCAACTAGGAGCAAAGACGGCATAATGATAACCTAGACCACCACAGTAACACAATAGGGCATTATTAGCAGCTTTGGTGACTGTGCTTCACAAGGCTTTATACTGATGGAATTTCATGTTCATTTAAACATGCTTTTCTGGTTATAGTCAGGAAAAGGAGATTGCTGGGAATTCAATCAGGGATTTGAAAAGTCAGATTTGGAAGGTCTCTGTCCAGAGAAAAACAGTAAAGGAGGAGCTGACTTCTTTTAAGTCTTCCAGGGGTCTTCAAAAATTAATGCACCCCATTTGGCCAAATTTTCCCCTCTCCCGGGGCCCTTATGTTATTATAGCATGTATTTATATATCACATATTGGTCTGTTTTATAGACAGCTATTAGTCACTTACATGGAGAACGTGGATTTTCCATCTTGAGTCTCAGGGAAGGGCTGGCTTTGGGATAAGTGCCCTGAAGACTTCAAAAATAGAATGTGTGGAAGACAGCAGGAGCATGGAGCGGGTGGTGGGCTGGAGAGTAAAAGTAGGTGTTGAACGTCCTTATTTACAGGACTTTGCAAAGCCAAATTCTGTTATATCTTTCCTGTACCCAACAGATTGTTGCATGTGAAAGGGCTTCCCACAGCCTCATGTGCTCCTGCCCATGTGAGCCCCTTGACTCCCCTCTGCACCTTCCTTTTGCACAATGTTCTCTCCTTTTCCCCATGCAAATGGACCCCATCCTATCACTCTCCCAAACTTCCAACTGCAGTACCCACCACTGG